CCCCCCGCCATGGCCGACCCCAAATACGCCGACCTGCCCGGCATCGTGAGTGAGGGGCCGGGCCTGGGAGGAGCCGGGGGGTCTGAAGGGGTGCTGAGGGGTCTGAGGCGATCAGGGGCCTGGGGGTGCTGAGGGGTCTGAGGGGATAGGGGGGGCCGGGGCTATCAGGGGAGATCGGAGGGGTCTCAGGGGGTTCTGAGGGGATCGGGAGGGCCGGGGCTATCAGGGGAGATCGGAGGGGTCTGAGGGGGTGCTGAGGGCCCTGAGGAGATCGGGAGAGTCAAGCGGGATAAGGGCCCTGGCAGAGAATGAGGGAACTGCGGGAGTCTGGAGTGTCTGAGGGGACCGGGGCGTCTCTGAGGGGACCAACGGGACATGGAGGGACTGAGGAGGTCGAAGAAGGGCGGCTCTGAGAGGGCCCGAGGAGTCTGAACGGGTCAAGGGGGTCTGAGGGTGTCTCAGGATGCTGCGAGGATCCGGGGGAATCTGCGGGAATTTAGGGATCCGTGGGGAGTGACGGTGGCTGGGGGGGTCAAGGGGGCTGGGGGATTGAGGGGATCAGGGGGTCAGGGCGGTCCGAGGGCACTGGGGGGTCCGAGGGCATTGGGGGATCAGGGGTCAGGGCGGTCCGAGGGCACTGGGGGGTCTGAGGGGATCAGGGTGGCTGAGGGGCTGCAGGGATCAAGTCAATTTGGGGGGCATGAGATTGGAATGACTGACAGGGTATGGGGACCGGGGGGATTTGAAGGATCATGTGGGGGCATGTGGGGTTGGTGACATTTGGGGTGTCTGAACGGGAGGGAGCTGATGCTGGGGAGGGGGCTTGGGGTGCCAGGGAGCTCGGGGTGAGGGAGGTGCCAGGGAGGGTCTGTCTGTGGGGGAACACGGATCCCTGGGGGGCTGGGAACGTCCTGGAAGTTTGGAATGACTGTGGGAATTGGGACATGGAGTTGGAGGGAGGTCAGGGGACAGAGGCAGTGAGTCAGGTGTTGGGGGGACATTGGGGTGTTGGAAAGGCTTTTGCGGTTACGAGGGCAGTCAGCAAGGGGTGTGGGGACATTGGCATGTCCAGAGAGAGATGGAGATGTCCACGGGGATGAGGTGTGGGGCGTCAGGGCCAGGTGGGGGTCCCAGCACAGCCCCTGGTGCCGCAGGCCCGGAACGAGCCCGACGTGTACGAGACCAGTGACCTGCCCGAGGATGACCAGGCCGAGTTCGAGGCGGTAAGGCCCGGCTGGTTGGGGGAGCAGCAGCTGGACCAGACCCCTGGGACCCCCCAGGACCCCCCAGGACCAGCACCGTGGCAGGGAACCGGCTCCTCCCCCTCCCCATGCACCCAGCAGCACCACATCCCCCACAGTGGCACATACTCCCACAGTGACACATCACCCCCACGGTGACAGTGTTCCCCACAGTGACAGTGTCCCCTACAGTGACAGTGTCCTTTACAGTGGCATGTGGCCTCCCCATCCCCCTGTGGCACCCTGCCTGTGCTCTGGGGGGCAGAAAGGGAGAGCAGGACACAGTCTCCCCCACACAGGCTGGGTGTCCCTGTCCTTGCTGTCCTTGTCCCCAAGAGGAAGGGGGCTGCCAGTTCCCCAGCACCACCCCAAGGGGAACAAGGAGAACCCCTAAACCTGCTCTGAATAGTGGGGGTTCCCAGGCCTGGGCTAAAGTCATTCTTGGGGGTGGCTCTGCAGGGATTTCAGTGTGGAGTGATGGGGGCTCCATCCTTGGGGACTCAGGGCACCCCCAGAGTGACACAGAGTGTCTGTGGAGTGACACACAGCTCCATCATGGAGGGGCCTGAAGGATCCCCAGGGCCCGGGGTTGACTCTGGGTTCTGTCCTCGAGGCCACACAGCAGAAAGGACCCCCAGGAGTGTGGGGTGACCCCCAGATGTGCTGGGGAGGATGATGAGGGTTCAGGGGTCATGATCTGAGGGGTGGCTCGGTGCCCCCCCAGACAGTGAGGGGGCACCAGGCCTTGGGAGTGCAGGGGGTGCAACCACCCTCTACCATCGGTGCCCTTGGTGGTTTTGGGGTCCAGGAGGTTGGCACAGGTCCCTGGCGTGGAGCAGGGGCCCAGGAAGTGCCCACTGAGGGAGGGCAAAGAGAGCCACCCCTGTGAGAGCCAGAGCAGCAGGATGGGCTGAAACAAGGTTTGAGCCCAAAGTCGTGAGGTGACGTGTGGCCCCTACTGTGGTGGGAGGTGAGGGATGGGGGGGTCCTTAGCCCCCCTGCCTCGGGGAGCCCTTCACCAGCTCTGGGGTATTGAGGGGTCCTTCCTCCCCCTCGGGGAGCCCCCCAAACTGACCAGGGCTCCCCCCGCTTCCCCCCCGCTCCCGCCTGGCCTGGACTCAGTTTGCACAAGTAAGCGTGGCCCTGCTTTGGGGTGCATGGGGGGCACTGCTGCATGTGCATGGGGGTCCCAGCGCTGTCCCCTCAGGGGTCCCCCTGCTGTGCTGGGGGTTTTGGGGGCCCCTGCACTGCCCCTCCCGCTCTGCCTTGCCCTCTGCATCCTCTGCCTGCTGCCCGCACTGCCCACCTGGCCTTGGGATCCCTGGGACGCCCCAGGACCCCGGGCTGGGTCTCATTGTCCTGGGGACACTGGCTGGGCATGGGGGGGCCGTGCTGAGCCCCCTCACTGCTGCCAGCATTGCATGAGGTGGCTGCTGGGCTGGGGCAGCTCGTGGCCCTTCAGAGGCCCCCCAGGGGCCTGGGGTCCCACTGAGTGTTGGGATCCCGTGGGGGAACCCCGGCTCCACTCACATTCCCTCCCCGGAACTCCTGAGGGGAGTTCAGGGGTGATCCCCAGAACTCTGGCCACGTCTTGCTCCCCTCCGGGGCACGGCCCTGCTGCCCTATCCCCGGGGGACTGTCCCACTGCCCTTCGTCCTGCAGGTGTCCCCAGCCCTCGGGGGTCCCCATCCCGTGGGGTTCTCTGTCCCACAGGGATCCCCAGCCCTCAGGGGTCCCCGTCCCGTGGGGTTCCCTGTCCCACAGGGATCCCCAGCCCTCAGGGGTCCCCATCCCCTGGGGTTCCCTGTCCCACAGGGGTCCCCAGCCCTCGGGGGGCGGTGGGCGCGGGCCGGACCTTCTAACGCGGATTTTGTCTCTCTCTCCCCTCTCTAACCTTGCTCTGACTTTCTCACCTCTGGGAAACGCCAGGAGCTGGTAAGCGCCCGTGTCCCGGCCGCTGGCACTGTCCCTCAGCCACTGTCACCGCTGCCACCCACCGCAGCCCCCTAACGCTGCCAGCGCTGCTCCCGCCGCTCTCACTGCCCGCAGCAAACCAGGGCTCCCTGAAA